CATTGCAACCCCCCCATCCCCCCCCCCCCCCTCAGAGACACTACTCTGATCCCGCAATTGTGAATACAACATTATAATTGCGAGAAACGCTCTAGACTTAGGTTTAAAAAAATCAAACATTATATATGCGAACAAAGATCTTGCACTTGTGAGATTCTTCAGAAGATTATACTTCACAATCGTGAGCAGCACCATATACATTAATTGACAAAAACTACTACATTCAGTCAAGCTCTAATTGAATCCTCGAGATTTGTTCAAGACTCCAAGGAAACATAAAATGTGTATATTGACTAAAAACCACACTTAGGATATGCTGGAACCGCCAACTCACCAATTCTAGATCGTCTAGATGGAATATTAACCGTGGTCAATCTTAAGTTTCTTAAACTCAAAATTTTCAACCAATGAAGAATCCCTTAGTCCTTGTCTTGGGAGAAGCCTGTCAAACTCACATTTTAAATCACTCCCAAACACTTTCTGATCCGTAAAACCTATCCAAATAATTCAAAATTTCCTTTTTGGACCTAACAGAACAGTCAAAATTCAATTTCGAGAGCATTTATTTGGAATGTTAATTTTGGTCAAATTTACAATTTTCAAAACTAAAATTCTCATCAAAATTTGTTTGATCACTTCAAAAATCACGTCACTCATCCCTATATATAAAAATGACATACATAAGCTGTAAAAAGGGATAAAATAGAAAAAAAAACATAACAAAAACACAAAACAACCATAAGGGTCATTACATTTACCAATAATTGCAAGATTCACTTCAAACTCAAGAAATTAAGGATCCTCCTTATTGTCATATTTTTCATTTATGGGTAAACCATTCTCTCGAGTACATTATCGAGCAATAGAAGTAATAATATATGCACATGCACATATGTGAAAGGGAACTAAAAAAAATACATTCATGTTTGCTCTCTTTGGAAAAAAAAAATACATTCATGTTTGCACATGCACAAGTGTAGCATTTGATTTTCATCCAAGGATCCTTTTTTTTACTTCATTTTGAAAAGAATGACCTGCTTCCCTTTTTAGTCTGTTTAAAAAAGAATGTTTCCTTTTCTTTTTGGCAAAACTTAAATTTCATCTTTCTGTGTGGCATGTTTAAGACAACGAGATTAAAGGGTATTTTAATATATTTGACAC